GAGTGTACCCGAAGATTGAGAGCGGCTTCCTGACTTCATCCGCCTTCTGACGTGCCACCACCAGATGCCGCTGTTAGCGCAAGTCATTCCTCCTCTGATTCCCTCGCATGCAAGGAGTCTGAAGTACGAAAGATGGAGAGAGAAGAGCACAACGAAGGAGGAGAGACGGGGTAGAGGAGCCGAGGAAGGGAGAGGCGAGCGGAACAAGCTACTTCACCTGCGTCCCAGCTGCTTCCCGGGGCTACTTGACAACCACTCGCGGAGGGAGGGCAATCGTCCGGAGGAGAGCGAACGTCTGCCCCCCCCTCGCTCGAGCAGCTCAGGCTTGGGGGTGGAGACTCGGCTGGCGAGGGAGAGAGCCGGCCAGAGAGGCGCCTGAATCTCGAGCACGTTGTCGATGCACTCGATTATCGAGAGAGGAACGCTGCTGCTCCCTCCCTCTTTCGCTCCGTTCTCCGGCTGCATGGGAGGAGGAGGAGCCTCTCCCAGCAGCACTCGGATCACTCCCTCCATGGAGTTAGCGATGGATCGCAGGTTGTATCCTCCCTCAAGCGCCACCACCACCTTCCCTCCCGCCAGCCCTCGCAGCATGTTGGTCATCATCGCGTACCCGTAGGGCGTCACTGAACATCCTCCTAGCGGGTCGCCGTCAGCAGCGTCGAAGCCAGCGGAAACGAGGACGAGCTCAGGGTTGAACGAGCGAGCGACAGGCATGACGATGCTCTCGAAGGCCATGAGGTACTCGGCGTCTCCAACCTCATCATGCGGCCAGGGGATGTTGATGTTGAAGCCTCTGCCTGCTCCCACACCGACTTCATGCGCTCCTCCTGTTCCCGGGTAGAAGTTCCCGTCCTCGTAGCGGTGGAGGGAGATGTAGAGCACGGAGGGGTCCTTGAAGAACATGCTCTGAGTTCCATTCCCGTGATGGACATCCCAGTCTAGGATCAGAACTCGTTGCAGGCCGAACTCTCGCTTCGCAATCTCCGCAGCCACAGCCACGTAGTTGAAGAAGCAAAATCCCATGATCGTCTCGTGCTCTGCGTGATGGCCGGGAGGTCGCACCAGCGCCGCCCCGTTGGCTGCTTCTCCTCTCAAAACTCTCCTGCAGACCTCAGCGACCGTCCCCGTCGCCATGCGCGCGCACAGGGCGGAGAACTCGTTGCAGTAGGTGTCAGCCCCGATCTGCGTGCAGCAGCCGCGGGCGACTCCGGCGGAGGACGTGTGCACTTGCTGCCAGTGCTGCAGCGAGTGAACCATCAGCACCTCCTCCTCCGTGCACTCCCTCCCTTTGATCTGCGTGCACCGACGCGCGATGCCGGCGTCGAGGAGGTGCTGGTACATGGCGGCGATGCGGTGAGGTCGCTCAGGGTGATGGTCACCTTCCTCAGGTCGGTGGAGGGTCATGTGCGCGTCATAGGCGAGGATCGTTGCCGACGGGACGGCCTGGGAGAACCGAAGAGGATCGGAGATGATGGACATGGCGATGCGCTTCGCTTCCATCTCCATCCTCCGCATGTAAGCTACCTCACAAAAGTACTCGCCGTACTTGCGCTCGGTCTCAATCCCTTCGAAGATCACGTCCGCCGTCACCGAGTGCTCCTGACTGCAGATGTTCCCCTGGCAGGCGAAGCTCGGCTGTGCACAGTTCACACACGTATCATCGTTGGCTGCTCCTTCCTCCTCATCATCTTCGTCTCCTTCCTCTTGCTCCCCCTGCTCCTCCTCCTCTGCCATCATACAGTCCGAGCTCTCGTGTTTCATGTCTGGTCTCATCAGTCCATCGGGCTTTATACCGTCGTTGACATCTGGCAGCAAGAAGCCTGTCCTCATGGGAGGTTCGATCACCTGGCAAGGAGTGAGCGCAACCAGCAACTAGAGTGTCTGTACAAACATTCACCTCGTAGCCTGTGATGTGGTCTAGAACGCTCTCGTCTTCAAGATACCTGTCAGCCTTGGAGATAATTTCATAGCCCGGTATATTGTCCAAGACATTCTCGAGCCTGTCTTTGGAGTCTTTTCTACATAGAAGTTCAACTGAGTCTAAAGAATCCATCTTAAGAACATCGAAATCCTGACTGGCATGGTTTGACTGCCCCACAACACCTCCCTTCTCTTGCATCCCTTGCGAACTCGGCTTCGGATTCCAGGCTCCTGTCGATCTTCCGCTGGGAAGAGTTCCAGAGCCAGAACAAGCATAACCGGCATGAGCAGAAGGGAGATGGGTGTGGCTCGCATCCTTGTCGGATGAAGAGGCGGCCGACTGTGCTGATGCACGGGCATGCTGACCATGGCCGGATGTGGGCGAGAGAGCAGGCGGGGGCATGTTGCATGAGAGCTGCGACAATGTCTGTGCGCCTGCAGTGCCCTGCATCTCAGCCTGTGCGGAGAATGATGAGGGACCAGCGAGAGGGAAAGTAAGAGGCGGAGGACTGGAGGAGGGTTGAGCAGAGCCTGGGAGAGGTAGCGAGGAGGACATGGAAGGTTGGGAGGGAAGGGAGGAGGGAGGAGCTTGAGCATGAGTCGCCGGGTCTTCTCCTTCTGCTCTCGCTAGCATGCCGGCTGCTCTCGCCGCCTTCAGCGCCCGCGACATGGATCCCACCTTCGCCATCTTACCCTGCGAGCATACCACCCTACCCCTCAACACCCACCTAGCCACCTAGCCACCTAGCCACCTAGCCACTGAGAGATTGGAATCCCCACCCGTCCATTTTCAGGACCCCCAAGTCTCCACCCAGATGAGCAAGTACCCTACCTATCTCCCCACCACCAAATTTCCGCGACAACCCCGTACTGAATATACCCACCCCGATACTCACCACCCTGTAATGTTTCCACCACCCTACCCACAAGCTCGTCTGATCACCCCATCGTCACTCCCTTGTCGCCATTGCTCCTTTACCTCATCCCCGCTCTGACCGACACGTTGAAGCGGTCACGTAACGGTCAGCAGCTCGATAACGACCATAACGGTGCATAACGGACTGGTGGGGACGGCATGTTCCTTAGATCGATGCTCGAAGCAGAGAGGGAGATGAAGAGGAGGGAAGGAGAGTCAGCTTGAGAGAGGAACTAAGAGTGAGACGACGACCTTGAGGATATAGTAGAGAGGATGCAGTGGAAGACGAAGTAGCAGGACGAGGGAAGATCAAGAGCGATGTGGCAGGGATGATTCTACGAACAAACACTGACGCATAGTAATAGGGTTTATATCGACCTCACATTCTTTACTTTTACTTTATTCTCTAGCTGATTCTGATTTGAAGGGAGCATGCTAGACGAGGGATCCCTCGTAACCTTCATCAACTACTTCGGCATCGTTGTCATTGGCCTAATCTTCGCGTTTCATTACGTGTCTCTCGATACCAAACAGCATTGAAGCGAAGCATGTGCCCAGCCATCATATACTCTCAACAATCGCTCAATTCCTTCGCTGCTTTGCTGCATGATTGTTGCGAGCCAATGCAAAGATGCCCATGGCTGTGAAGCGCAGGATGAGGTGGAAAGTAAGTAAGAGGCAGCAGCGATTGCATTCTGAGCTTCGAAAGTTTGTTTATTTTTATGAAGGTCTGAACGTTGATCAGTTAACGCTGAAGTGTCATAAGTCTGTCGCTAGTTCGCATCGCTGTCAGTCTACAGCCTGTTGCTTACTGACTGTTGCTTTCTCACTCATTCACTCAGTCTATCACGCAGTGGGCACCTTCCAAATAAGTCAGAATTCGTAGGACAATCGGCAATGAGCCTTCCCCACCCCCTGACCCCCTGACCCCTTCATCCCCTGACCCACTTCTCTTCCCTTCTCTTATCTATTCACAGCAAAATCAAAGTACCGTCTTGATGAATTCTGCGTTTGGTCCGAGTTCCTTCAAACGGAATAAGTCACAGCCATTCACTTCAGCCCCCTCCCCCAGATCTGTTTGTCTGTCTGTCTATTCACCTGCGTCTTTGGCGGCGTAGAGATACCCTTGAAGCAAGTCAATCACAAACATGTGCATGAGGAAAGATCCTTCACACCTGCATTGCTGCCTCTGCTGCGCTATTCCAGTTGTTCTCTGCAACATCACCAGCTCACTGCAGACATGCACCAACCGGCGAGGCAGGAAGAAACCCACCTTGACCAGCGCCAACTTCATACTGTCCATATCCGTTGTTCCAATCTCCCTCATCCGTCTGCATAGAAGTTTCATTGCATGGAGATTTCGAAACAATCCATCAACCTCATAGGGAAGCGGTGCCGCAGCAGCTGTGCCATATCTCGAACCGATACCACTCGAGTAACTTGCAGAGTATGTCAAGTCGGCTACAGCAGCCTGGAGGGTTTCAGGACTGGGCAATCAAGCAGATCGAGTTCACTCGTAATCGGAGAAACGATCCTCGAAGTTCTTCATGCTGCTGCTCCTGCAAGACAACTGCATGAGCCATCCAGTGCATCCAGTGCACACAGCAGTAAAATGTACCTGAAGGTATGCATGCCTCTCTATGATCTCCATCTTGTTGACAATCAAGCGGAGCAGATCTGGCACATCTTTGCTATACACCATGACCTAACAGATAATGCCTTTCAGAGACGCCTTGCATTCGACGACAGTCGTCACCTTCTTGGGGTCAGAATGCTCCCACGCATCATCCTTCCAGTCAAATCACTTTCAGCAAGTCTCAAGCAGTGCAAATGATCAAATGCCTTGGATCCAGAAATTGACATTAAAAGCTGACGCATGCTGTGTACTCAACGATGAGAACGTCTCAAATGTATCACAAGAAAAACCTTTTGGAATTTGAATCGATGAAAAAATTCAGAGCTGCAACAAAATGAATTCCAGTCGTTGCAATCATCCCAGCCTGCCATGGCTTATTCACCTGCCATGGAAGAGTCGGCAGCAAAACGTTCATTCAATGCAAGCATCTTGATTGCATCCGCCTGACACGTCATCAGATTGCCCATACTCAAAATAAAGAGGAGCACCAGCAACTTGAGTGATCTGGAAAGAAGTTTGTCAGGATATTGATCCAGTATCCCATGCTTGTGAGGCTCATGGAGTGCTATCACACTCTTAGCGAGTTGCGTTGTGATCATACTTCATGATACCCTGACAGATAAATTTGGAGAAGAACAGTCCTGCAACAACTCGATGGCCTGCAAGCCACTTAGGTTAAGTTGATTCACTGGGATAGTCTCATATGAATACCCGAATTTGGAAATCGTGCTTCTGACAGTAGTCGTAGTTGCGCAAAAATGCACGTCTACAAACAAGAGAATGATGTCAGACCAGGCCGCCGTGTGCATCTACTGAGTTATTGCCATGTTCTTTCCAAGATTTTGCGGTGATCTCTTCTTGATTTCCTCCACTACAGATCCAGCGTAGAAGGTCAAATCCTTGAGATTGTACTGAATACTCTGATAAGGATTCTTGTTCAACAGAAATCCTGAAAGGCATACCTGAAGATTGTCTGACGGTGTAGATAACGATGGATCAATCTCAAAGCTACAACCTGGGTTATAGTGAGCAAATTAAAATCGTCCAGAAGACACTTCAGGTCCAGAATCGAGTTTACCAGAAAGTCTTCTTTTCTCGACTTCATCTCGGAATCTTTTGTTTCAAGAAGGAGTCAAAATACAATGCATCGTATTATCAAACCAACCCAACCTTGAAATGAGAGGCCGCAAGCATTCTTGGAGAAAAGTATTTCCAATCTGTATATGAAGTTCAATCATTTAGCTTCTCAGATGCTGTTGTAACCTTGGACATGTGCATCTTCAAGATACGCAATGACATATTGTTCCTTCTAAACATGGTCGTAGCATCTAAAGTGTTCGCCACCTACAAAAAGTTTGAACCTTTTGATTTCTGTAACAAGTGTCCTGAGGTTACCTCCATCTCCACACAAGCTTTCATGATCTGTTCAGTTCTTCCGGATCTGGATTGAATGATTGGGAAATACTATGTAAAGCCGTTCGTTACCTATCCACTAATCGGAGAACGGCAGCCAAGAGCTCGTCGCCCTCCTCATCTTCCGGCATCACCTGTTCCAGTCGTCAAGCATGTACAATGGACATGGCCAAAGCAGAAATGTAGCACCTCAAACATTGCCGATAGAAGGTGGAGATCCGGTGAGAACAAAACCTTGTATACCCATATCAAAACACGATCAAGCGCTTATATCTCATCGTCGTGAGGCGAAAAAAATCAACCTCGAACAGATTTTGGTACTTGAAATCATTGTCGAGGTCCTGGAGAATTTTCAAAAAGGAAATCAGGCAAAAGAATTAGATTCACCTCAGGCGAAAACTCCTTTTCCTTGTTCCTGTACACAGGAGCAAACGATTACTACCAAAACAAGTTCAAAAAGCAAACTTGTGACCTTGGAACCAGAGAAATGAAAGCAGGTGGTGGACGTGAAGGCATTTTGAGGGAGCTTTTAAGGATCTGTCAGTCGGAGAGAGGTTAGTGATGCAATTGGAGAAGGTACTATGGTTTTACGTCATGCTTCCATCGCTTGTCGGTGACCATTGAGGGACCTGAGGAGAATCAGCGAGGACTTCCTTTATCGCAATTTGATTCCTTACCAATACTAACGTCTGGAATGGATGGTGGCACAATTCGTGCAGTCGGAACTTTCTCTAGCATCACCTTGAAAACATTCAATAATCTTCGATGTCAAACGGTTTCAAATACAGTGCACTGGCCGCAGATCACTGTTCCCCTCCTTACGTGCGACATTCGAATAGCTTCACGCATGCTGGAAAAGTTTCATAAGAATTACAATGTAATTCCTTCCTTCCTTCGAAAACCTGCATTGCTCACAGAATAGAGCAGCACACATTCTTAAAATAAATGAGCAACTGTGAACCATTCCAAGTGCATGCTCACCGGCATTTACTCTTCCAACGTCCGCACAAATCACATTCCTCGACACCTACATTCTTCATGTTTACATTTTCCTCATGTCTTTGATCAAATTCTTCACCAGCTTCGATAGGAGCTAGTGGCTTCGTCATCTGACTTCTGACAGGTTGCTAAGTAAACGTTTCAGAGCGCTTCACAAAATTCGTTCTTGAATTTGATCATTTGAAGTGCAGTCTCAAAATCTCCGATCAATAGTTTGTCTATACCGGTTCAGCTGGCGCATCTGTCTTTGGCTCTGCTTCGTTCATGTCTTCGCCCTGTGTATGTGAAACAAAATTATGTCGGAGACACTCAATTGAGCCTTGATTATTTGAATACAGCAAGAAAAACAATCACAAACATTCGCACATTTTCGCCTTTGATTTCTTCAGATTGCTTGGCTCGATCGGCAGCATTGTATCGATCTGAACCAGAATGCCATGGACCCCTCAGATGCAAAAAAATCGAAAGTTGTTCACCTTCGTCCCTTTTTGGAGGAGGGTCGCTGAAGGTTCCTTTTATCCTGTCAGAAGATTGCTAAGACCTGGGAGTCTCGTACCTGGAGGGACAGGAAGAAACGACTGCAGATCGGCTAGAAAGTTGGCCATTGCCTGCTCAGAATGCAAGTGAGCTTTTGGGATACAGGGGGAGGTACAGAAGGAGTGTTGTCATCTACGATTCTTGCTGAACCCCTGCTGCAAAGCAATACCAAAGAGCTTTGAGACTCAAAGCTCCAATACCTCTACAGTCCTTTTCTAAATCCCCCCCCCTTCCTCTTTGGCTCACTGATCCAACATCTCCGAATGACTCTACGCGCCATGTACTTGGTCTTCATTGCCTTTCGCTTCTCTCTCATTGATTGTGTCTATTCCTAAACCATACCTCTTCTTCATCTAACTTACTAAATCATATCAAATCTCACTTTTTCTTCGTCTACCCTGAATCCTTACGATTCCGGTTTCAAGATTCCCTGTGCCATTTTGACTTCCACTGTCGGACATGCTCGACATTTTCAATTTTGATCTGTTCACACATGTTCTGATCTGCATACTTTTATGCTGCTTTCTTCATTTTTTCTTCTGGCTCTGCGACATTTTCTCTCATTTGCACATCTCCCCTGATCACTCCCGTCTTCCTCTGCTCCCGCCCATTCGGCAGCCACAAACCTTACCGCTGTTTACCCACCCCCCATTTTGACCCATTATTCTCTCTAGGTTCTTATGGTGGGTACATCCGAGTCCACTCACACCCTGGCGGCGTCCCCGCGCCCCGGGTGCCGGGCCCACCGGGCCCACCCGGGGGTTCGCCGGAGTGAACCAGAGGCTCATAAGGCTAGTAGGTAGACTGACAGTTTTTACTCAACGTCAGACTTTGCACGTGTGAGCTCACTTCTGATAGACTAAATATGTCACTCAACTTGATTAGAGTTGGGATGCCTCTGTGTAATATTGTTCGATATTTTGAAACTATAATGAAATATTTGAATTTTTTGTCATTTTGGCAGTTTTCAACCAGGTAGGAATGAATTAGTCAAATGTTTACTCAAGTATATGTCTGTTTTGAAAGTTTCGGGGTCAGGGGTACTACCCCATCAAAGTCTGTTTCACCCCACCCCACCTATCTTCGTACCCCTGCTTTCATATGACCCCAGTCTATTGTAACCCTCAAGTTCATATTGGACCCCTCGTTAAAATCTCCTTTGTAAGGGGACTATCTACCCCCTCTTTGTCACCCCTACCCCTCTTTGATAGAGCCTTTTGACACATGGGTACCCTACCCCCCCAGGAGGAGTTGTTCAGACTTCGAACCGTCTCTCCCATGTCTACCCCCTGATACGATTAGATCCATCATGGTAGGGGTAGTTTGCAAGAGCGTGTCCAAGTAGTTCAATAATCGGTGGGGTTATCTATAGTGTTGTTATACAGGGGTGGGTGGGGTAAACAAATCATAAACACAAAACAAGAGCCAGAAATCATAGATTAATACCACCCCTGTACCCCCTAATTACCCGGATTTTGGTGTTCACAGTGCCTCAAGGTTGTTGTTGGATGGATTAACAAGATCATTACAGGATTAAGAGGAGGGAGGGGGTGGGTCCAAGGGTATTGGTCAAACACCCTCCTCGGGAAGCTGAAGGTCAGCCGCCAAGAGAGCGGGCGTGCTGTGGGCGGGAATGGCGGAGGCGGATGAGGAGGTTAGGTCGGAAGAAGAAGGAGGACTGAGATATAACCATGGCTGGTAGATCGAGCTGAGAAGGTTCCTCTTGCGACATGCGTGTTGAGATGCTAGGGGGGGATGCGAACTATTTGGAAATGAGGATGAACAAGGAGCTGTAGGTGGAGGATAATCTTTCCATTAGAAATCGAGAATCAGGGAAATGGAAATGGGTCAAGCATAATGAAGATGATGGAAAGCGCATCGTTGAACGATGCAAACTCATGGGGGGCTGACGTGTCAAATGGAGTATAATCTTGTTTTGGGTTAAACCTTGGGCATTAGCACATCCTTGTTTTTTGGAGGCGTCTTGACTTAGGGGATGACCTAGATAGAATGCGTAGACGAATTAGTGGATTTGGCATCAGAGGATTTACTGGTACTCGATATTTGTTCATTGGAGAAATGATTTTGTATTTTGTTTCCACGTGTCATTTGATACAACTCAACATTGTATTTGTTTGAGTTTTGAGATTGAACAGCCTTGATATCGGTGTGAGCATTCTCTAGCGAGGAAAAATGTCGTGCGATCTAACGTCATCTTGGCTCCATTTGATTTGCCACCGCACCCTCTTTTCCATCTTCGACTTGCTCCATCTTTTCTGATGACAGGATTGTGTTTACTTATTGTTCATACATTGACTCTATTTCAATACACAGTTGGCACTAATGGCTCTACAACCTTGTCCCATCTGCAAGAATCCGTGTGATATTTGTGAGGAAGATCTCATTGAAGCCGACTGTGGTGCTTGTGGACCGGTCTCACTACATGTGCATTGCAAAGAGAAGTATTGTCGGCAACAAGGTCAGTGTTTGCTGTGGATCGCAACTTGCGTATTGACATTACTGTAGGGATTGCAAAGGGACAGTACAAGGGTTATCCTTGTCCACGGTGTAACAAGGCAAAAGTATCAGCTCAGCATATACGACAAAGAGATAAAAGGAAGCGACCGGAAAAGGAAAACAAACCCGTGAAGTCTGAAAGTAACAGTGAACGAAGTGTCCCCGTGAAAGTTTTTGAAAAGTCACAAGTGAAAACCCCCATCACGTCAACTCAAGATTTGCTGCATGCTTTGATTGCGGATTGTACTGCAGATCCTACCACTCTCCAATCGGTCAAGAATGCCTTCAAGAGGCTCCTACAAATACACAGGGCATTCAAGACAGAAGAAGACCAGGTCCTCAATATTTGGAAGCCATTTGCGTCAAGAAAAGTCAGAGATGAGTTTATAGCACTCAGAGCACATACCCATCCTACCTATATGCAAGCCACTTCGTTATTGAAGCTTACGTCACAAATGAATGTTGAAGGAGAAAATGAGGAAGTTATCAAGAAGCGCTGTGAAGTTGCGGACAAGCTTATGACTGGAACCCCACGTGACGTCCTTGAAAAGTTGGATGCATCATTAGACGTTGGCAGATGCCAGCCTTTGTAAGTTTCGCACACTTCCTTAATTTCTTTTGACCCATATGGATATCTCCAGGTACGATGATCTTGTTCATAGAATCGAAATGTTGCATAGAAAGTGCGAAGCGGCAACACTTTATTTAGAGCGTTTACGAAAGTCGCTACCAGCTCAACTTGCAGGCCTCGATGTGGTGCAGCAAGAAAGGGTTTGGGCCTGGTGCGATATTGAAGAACATGTTGCGGACGGAGTATGCTGTCTGGCACTTGCCAACCCACAGAACACCTCAGACGAACATCAGCTTCGCAGTCCACCATTTTATGCTGGTGGTGTGCCTTGGAGTGTTAGATTCTACAAGGCAAAGACGCAAGGTTCCGAAGCAGGATTCATGGCAGCGTATTTAGATGCTGGACATGCTCTTCATGCGGATCCTGGCTTTGAAATGCAGGTATATAGAAGCATTTTGACGCAGACATATAAGAGGTTTGACTATACTCAGGTCACATTTACTTTCACACTAAGAAAGACTCCAGATCAGAAAGCAGCAGCTATTTGTAGAAAAGAGGCCACGTTCACTTTCAAAAAGGATTCTGATAACAGGGGTTGGCGTGAATGTGTTCCTTCTGCAGCGATCGACGATGGCTTAGTGTATTTGACTGTTGAGGTAATGGTGCTGCCAAGTGTCTCTGGACCTCTGATGATGAATTTACAGGTGAAAGAAGGCGCAGTTGCTACAGAAAACATAACAATCAGTGTAAAACTTGAAAAATGCCGTGATGTAAGCTTCAAAGTCAAACCAAGCACAGCGATGCAAAAATTAATGGATTCATATTGTTTAAAGCAACATTTACGAATAGAAAAAGTAAGATTCGAGTACATGGAGAAGAAGAATGGTAAAATCAAGGTCAGCTTCCCTTTCAAATAGTTGATGTGAAGTCTGATATAATGTTCATCAGGTGGTGGAACCAGAGCAAACACCTTCCGATCTTGGAATGTCCGCAGACACTGAAGAACTTGTCGCCATAGTCACTGACGAGGAAGTCGATGCGGTGATGAAAAGGGGTGGTGTGGGGCTTCTTGAAGCCGCAGAGGCGTTGGACAGATGTGGATATCTACCTCGGAAGGCGTTGCAGGTCAGATTTGTTTGTTGTATTCTTGCTGTACTGATTATTGTTGCCACAGTTGGTTGACTCTATACAGAAAGCGAAGGCAAAGGCAGAGACCATCAAGAAAGAAAAAGAAATCGATGAAAATGTCAAGAAAGTCAAGGTGAAACAAGAGCCTGAAGCAAAGAAGAAGATCGCTCCCGAACAGACGAAGGGCACCGCTATCCACAATCAGAAAGGAAAATCAGTCAGTCAGAAACCCCCGAGTGTTGTGACGAGCAAAGTCGAACCCGAGGATGGTTCAGACAATGATTCCGATGACAACGATTCTCAAGAGGATGATTTTCGTCTGATTAATGCGTTTGGACCATTGAAATACGAATTTAACAACAAAGCCATCCATGAGAGGCAATTACCTTCATTCGACATTGTAAATCTGTGCTTGATTTAATTACTTTGTTTGTTGACGTGTGTTTGCAGCCCTCTAAACAAGATCTAGAAGGTTTTGAGGAAGTTAAAACCAAAAAGAAAGGCAGCAAGAAATCAACCAATCGTGAAGAATTTGGTGCTTTTGACAACCAGTATTCGCCGAGGCATGCTCCAGTGGACAATGGCAAGGCCCCATTTGGCGGAAGAAAAGTTTTCATTGGTGGGACTGCAGACAAAGACCATGACGAGCTTAGAGCACATTTTTCCCAGGTACATGTAAAGACGCCCTGTTCAATTTTCTGATGTTTTACGTTAGTTTGGAGCTGTAGCTGACGTCGAGGTTCTCAAAGAGCGTGACGGTTCATACAGAGGATTTGCGTTCGTTACCTTCCATGAGAAGAAGGCTGCAGACACTCTGCTGAGTCAGCACCATACATACATTGGAAACGTTCGGATGGAAGCAAAGCCTTGTATGCAGCCTCGTGGAGAGCTTGAACTGGACAAGAGGATCGCTGCTACTCTGGGAACTTCAGCTGGTCAGAGCTACTCCAGGAATATGGAGCCGCCTGCTCCAGCGGTATCTGCTTGGGGAAGCGGTCCACCAAACAACATTAAGCCAGCATTTGCTAGCGTTCCTGGGCGTGAAGGAATGAGAAGAGAGGATTCAGACCTTGTGGATCAATGGAAACAGGCAGATGCTGATAATTCTTGGAACGCGATCAGCAATTTGGGTGACATGTTTGATCCAATGGGAGCAAGCCAGGCTAGTACTGCTGAAGCAAGTGCCATGGATACGGCAACCGTGCCTTCAAATTGGGATACAGGAGCGACCACGATGGATACTATAGTCTCGAGAGACCTTGAATCCATGCTCAACCTTGATTTCGAAGGTGATGAGGATAACGTGTGTACAATCTGTTACGAGGACCTTGCCAATGCCTGTTTAAAACCATGTGGCCATCAGTTCTGCACAGAATGCATTACCAACTTGAAGAAACGGGCAGTTTTCCAGGCAACAGAAGGCGTCCTCTGTCCTCATTGTCGAGCACCGGTCAAGGAATTCGTTCTGCCAGCGACCGGGGCGTCACTTCCATCCATCAGCCAGACGAAGTCAGCATGGGGCAGCAACTCCAATTCGGTCCAAGCGTCAGCTCAGCCAGTCAACAATTACCCTCAACCCAATCAGGGCGGAAATGTTGGAGCGGCCCAAGGCAACATGTGGGGCAACGGGCAACCTCAAGACATCTGGGGCTCAAACTCAGGGTTTCAGGGAGGCTTCGCGAGTGGTGACCCTGGCGCACTGTGGGGAGGCGGGCTGGGAGGCATCAGCAGTGACCAGGTGTTCAGCAGACAGGGCAACAACTCGGTGTGGGGAAACATTGGCGCAGACAGTTGGAACATGCAGGCCCAAAGCGAAGGGCAAGGGTCTTCTTGGAATTCCGCCTTCAAGGTCCCGACGGCTTCATCGATGAACCCCCCGTATGCCGCCAACTCTTCTGACTTCCCGATCACCTCCGCCGCGAAGGTCCCTGGGCAGGCACAGCAAGGAGATCCGAATTCGACCTCCCCTCCAAAGGCGGAGAAGCCGAGTGTGGTGCAGGTGAAAGTGAAATTCACAGATGACCGGGAGGTGGTTGTGGGACTGAGCCCGCAAGACACGGGGAAGCAATTTCGAATGAAGATCAAAGAGTTGACAGGGATCCCAGTTGCTGCACAGAGGCTGGTGTTCCAGGGCCAGATGATAGAGCTGAATGACACTCTCGACAGAAAGAAAATCAAGAACGGTGTCGTTGTGAACTGTTTCCTCAGGGAGGTGCAGGATGGTGATGAAGAATCGTTGCTGTCTCAAGCGGCTCCGCAACATGTTCCGCAGTACGCGCCGCCGATGGAAACAAACATTGGAGCTCAATCCTCCAGGAGTTACGAGGATGACAAGCAGAGTGAAGATGACTCGCAAACGAGCTCGAGGGGAGGTTCGATCAAAGGCCTTTCTCAAGATGACGATGACTGGGAGGCAGTGGGTACCAAGAAGAAGAAAGGCAGGTCGAAAGGGGACGCTCAAAAAAATGCCTTCCCTCCCGTCCCCATTCCTCTACGCAGCGAGCTGCCGCCCAGCAAGCTTCCCTGGAACAAGAGTCGATTCCACTTCTTCGGCCTGTGGGTTGGGAATGTTCACATTGAAGTTGTGGATCAGGTTGAATTCAAAGCTGCTTTCGAACGCTTCGGGGAGCTGTGTAACAACAGGACTCATGGTGTGCCCCCGATCAACATCCTGCCTGACTCTTCAAGCGCCTTCGTCAACTTTGTTCGCTACGAGGATGCCGACGCCGCGCGAACGGCTCTGCAAGGAAACACTGTCGCGTCCACAGGCCCCTTGAGGATCAACGCGTCGGATCTGATGCAGCAGTATGAAGATCAGATGAAGCAACAAGGGGCCGAACCTGGACGGAGCAGTTGGCCCACTCAAGAGGCTCGTGCGACCCCCCCGCCGCCTCCTCCTCCCACCAACCCATGGAACATGGCGAGAGTGACAGCAAACAACTACTGGGCGAGCGATTCTCGTGACCCGGAGCTGTCACGTGAGGCATACCCCCCGGCTGCTGCCTTGTCTGGTATGAGCCAGGAGGAGCGAGAGAGGCTAGCGCGTCTCGAGCAGGAGAGAAAGGACGAGGAGCTGGCTCGGCAGCTCTTCCGCCAGGAGCAGTATGAGGCTTCTCACGCCTTCTACATCCGAGAGGCTCAGAGAAAGAGAATGCAGGCGGCAGGAAGCGCTGGGGAGGTCGAGAGGAGAGGAGAGCAGCCTCTCTCCTCGCAGCCCCCCGGCTTGAGCGCGTCTGAGGATCAGCGCTTGGCCCCCAAGACGACCCTGATGGATCACCTGCCCTCGCACCTCCGAGGATCCGCTGACCCGAAGCCCGAGCCGCATGTGCGCAACGCGTGGGGGGCGAGGAAGCCTGCGATCAGCGCGAGTAGTCGCGAGGGCATGGCAAGTGGGGAGCAGCTGGGGGTCGGGGGGGCGTGGGGGGGCGACGTGAGTGGCTGGGGAGACCCGCACGCGACAACGTCAAGCTGGTCGTCAAACCCGGAGGAGCAGTGGGAGACGGCAGGACCTCGTCGCAAGGTTGGCATGTCAGCGTGGGGGACGTGAAGGTGTAGGGGCGAGAGGGAAGGGGGCTGGGGGTTACGTTGTTAATGATCGCCTTTACAACATCCAGTCCTTCTTCTCCCCATCCCTCCCTCGCTTCCATCATGCTGCTGCTGCTGCTGCACTGCAGAATCCTTGCTCGCTCAGCCACCGCTCGGCGTCCAGCGCTGCATGGAGGGTAAGACAAGCACGGGGGGGGGGGGGGGGGCAGGAGTCTTACCGGCCATGGCTCCTGTTCCTGCTGACGTCACAGCCTGCATCTCAAGTCAGCGGGACAAGTAGAGAGTCTGCTCGAGGTACCTGACGATAGACGTGGTCAGCTACATCCCCAGCTGCAAACAAGCCCTCCACGCTCGTCCGCGTGCTGCCCGCAACCACTTTGATGTAACCGTTGGAGTCCATGTCAACCTGATAGCAGCCTTAGATGCCCAAACACTCCTCCTCCTCCTCCTCCTCCTCCTCCTCCTCACCTGCCCTTGAACAAACTTGGTGTTTGGATCGTGTCCAATGGCCACAAAGGCAGCAGTGCAAGGGAACAGGGACTCTTCTCCAGTCTTCTTGTTCTTCATCTTGATCTGCTCGCTTGTCAATCGCGAAGCTTCCACTTCCCATTTCTTCACCTTGGACAAGATCGACTTCTCCTCTACCGTCACAACTGCATCGTCCTCCCCGTTGCCCGCTGAAGGTCCGTCATTTCCTCCCATTGTCACCTCCCTCCTCCCCCTCACCTTTGGCTGCATCCTTGTAGGCATCAGTGAGAATCTTCACGAGCGCCTCCTTGTCCTTGACGCCCGCGTAGCTGATCCCTGCATAAGCCTCACCCTCCTCCTCCTCACGCTCAGCACTCGAAACCTGCAGCGTCCAGTCGCTTCTGAACTTCTTTCACCCGGAGCTTCGAGAAGTCCTTAGTTGACAAGCGTTAGATAGCCACATTGAGTTCAACATTCCTGAACAGAAAGAGAGGAAACGATAGCAGGGGAGAAGAGGGACTGAAGAAGCGAGTAGAGCAGAGTAGAGCAGAGTAGAGTAGAGTAGAGTAGAGTAGAGTAGAGTAGAGCATGACATGCGAGGGGAGGAGAGGAGAGGAGAGTAAGATGTTCGTTACCTCCAACACTGGGTTTCCGTCTTCGCCGATCTCGACCTGAATTTGCAGGTCAATCACGATCGCAGCCCTCGAAATTCCTCACTGTCAGGCCGTTGGGCATCACGCGAACTCTCTTGCCGATGAATTCGATGACTTCGGTGTCCCACACAACCTGAAACACTTGTCATCCTTCTCCTCTTTCACCTCTCAATCCTCATTACCTTGATCTTTTCATGCGACAACACCCGCTCGGCAAGCACCTAGCCGGTGACGTCAGGACGCAACAACTACGGTGAGAAGGGGAGGAAACGAGGGAGAGGGAGAGGGAAGGGAGGGGAGGGAGGGGAGGGAGGGAGGGGGAAAGGGAAGACATCTTGACCTTGGATGCTCGGAACTTGTCTCGGCGATGGATGACAGTGACAGTCTTCGAGGTCCTTGCGAGCACCAGCGCGTCCTCCATGGCGGTATCGCCTCCACCGATTACCACTACATCCTGATCTGCGAACAAGAAGCCATCGCACGTGGCGCATGAAGACACTCCTCCTCCCCTGTGCTCGTACTCCCCTGGCACCCCAAGCCACCTCGAGTCGGCGCCAGTCGCCATGATCATCGCGTTTGCCTTCACTTCAGTCTCGTTGGTCCGCACGCGGAATGGACGGGAGGAGAGGTCGACGGATACCACCAGCTCCTGCAGGAAGACCGTCCCGAAGTGAGCTGCCTGCTCCTGCATGCCGTGCACTAGGTTCGGTCCAGTCGTGTCGTTGACTCCGGGGTAGTTCTCAACTCCGACTCCCTTCCCTTGCAGCTGCCCGCCCATCGGAGGAGCCACGAGCACAGGCTGCCACTCTTGGTCAGCTGTCAACACAGCAGAGAAGGAGGGAAGGAGGGGGAGGGGGTAAAGATGAGGTTTTAGATTGGAAGGGGGATGGGAAGGAGAGGGAAGGGGAGGTGGAGTATGACGACGAAAGGGAGGGAGGGGAGATGGGAGAAGGGGAGGGAGGGAGAAGGGGAGGGAAGGAGTGCTGAACAAGAGCAGCAGAGGAGGGCGGGAGCACCTTTAGGCCTGCTCGTGACGCGTAGATGGCAGCAGACAGACCCGCTGGTCCTGAGCCGATGATGACGACGTTCTCAACGTCGCTTCTGTTCTTGCGGTCGTAGATAGGGAAGGAAGGAGTGTCGTCATCGTCCTCCTCTGCCTCAGCTTTCTTCGCTGCCTCCTCCTCTCTCCTCTTAGACAACTCCTTCTCAAGCTGCTCCACCGTGGCTAGGTGAAGATTGGGCTTGTTGGCCTCTTGCTTGCTCGCTCCTCCTCGGGGAGACGGAGGGCTCGCAGGCTTCTCCGCGGCCGTCTCTTGCTTGGGGACGGCTCGAGGACGAGTCTTGGGGGCCTTCCCCTTGTACTTTTGCTTGAGAGCCTTGACAAGACCGTAATGCCCTGGCCCTCCTCCCTTGCCGGCCTTGTCCAGGATGTCCTGGAGCTTCTTGTCGTCCATCTCCATCATCTTCTCGGGCGCATGCTCCTGGTAGAAGGACTTGAGCGCCTCGAACGTGACCTCGATGTTCTTAGCTTCGGACTCACGGATCAGCTGCTGCGTCATGGTGTTCAACCTCTGCGTGTCCGCTCCGGAAAACTCGTCGCGCTTCTTCCCGAAGAGGAAGAGCTTGAAGGTCGGCATGCTCCGGATCTGCTCTGCAGAGGCCGTCTGGTAGTTCCTGTTGATGTCGACCTTAGCGAACACCGCCTTGTCCTTGTACTGCTCCGCCATCTGCTTGAAGACCGGCGCTACCATCCGGCAGGGTCCACAACCATCACTGTAGAAGTCGACAATCACAGGGAGGCCAGTGACCTCCGCGTGATGTTTCAAGAGCTTCTTGTACTCGTTGTGGTCCTTCACGTTCCTCACCAGAGGTCTGGAGTGCGCGGTCTGCAGAGCCAAGAGCAACACAGCAGCTGTCCGCAGCGCCAGAGCTCCACGCGAAGGCATGGTCTTGACTGAAGTTCAATGATTCAACCAAGCTCTTCACTTCGGCTGGGCCCTCCGCTCCTGGTCAAACCAACAACTCCTATCCCTGGGACACCTGTTACGATCATGTGAGAAAACTTTTGTCTGCCACATTGAAGGGGGAAGGGCGGGAGAGGGAAGAGGAAGTAAGGGGAGGCAAGAGAAGTAAGAAGCAGTTTCAATATCTCCCAGTGTTCTCAAGGCCAGTGCGAACATGCCCTCTGCCAAGATCTCACGCCTTGGGATCTTCTCGATGCTCGAGCTTCATCTACACCGACTCTGCTCTGCTCTGACTTCGCCCACCTGCCACCTTCACTACATCCTAACCTGAGCGTGCATTTCGCTCCATCTGATTGGATGATTTTTCCGAAAGAGGGTTTGGACACGTTGATCTTCAATATTGTTTAAAATTTAATCTGAAAATATCAATTTTTTACCTTATAATTTAACCTCTACACACAAATGTTGAATTTATCAACTCTCCCCCTTTTTTTTTGGACAACATGCCAGCAAGGCACTACCCTACCTCGTTTCAGAATACCCCTATCACCTCCTACTCATCACCCCTCCTATGATCACCACCCCCCATGTTTTCCCAACACCTCTGCTCGGAGTCACCCCTTTGTGCAGCAAGGTAAATACACCACCCCCTCTTTCCAACATATACCCGTCTGGAATACCCCACCCCTCAAACACTTATTATCACCCCTTTTCCAGTACCACCCACCCCTACACGACAACCCCTTCCATGGAAAATCCAGAACACGGGCGCGTCACCCGGCTCTCACAGACTCAGTGTGGGTGGCCGGCGGGCCTGACATCCGGGCCCGGGCCCGGGCCCGGCACCAGTGCGACTCATCCCCCTCATACCTGCTCATGCGGAAATGTTTCGAGATTTAAGCGTGAACGTGCAAGGGGATGGCGGCAGAGGAGGAGGAGCGAGAAGTGAAGGGCGAGGTCACTCTAGTATCTGCTCTGACCTGAGCAGATACTAGAAGGCGGTGATGATGTGCAGGAGGGAGAAATGCGGGAAAGAAGGGAGGAGGCAGCGCTGAGAGGCTAGAGGAAGAGGATGGTGAGGATCCCGATGCGAGAGCAGTGCCTGTATCAGACAACATCGAGAGAGGGATCTCAGAAAGTTGTTCCCAGATGGCTTGAGTGAGGAAGAATGAGGAGGGAAGGTTGCCAATGGCTCAAGGGTTGCTCCTCCATCTTTCGGACGAAAAGATTGATGAAATGAGCAGGCAGGCAGGCAGGCAGGCAGGCAGGCAGGCAAACACAGACATGATGAACTCTGATCTGATTTGTTTGTTTTCTTGGTAGCTGATCTCTGTTGGTCGTCCATCGTAAAGACTCCTCCTCCAGATGGCTTGTCTCACAAGGACAAGCGTCTTGTGCTTATTCTTTCTGCTGTTGAGCTCTCACAGCGCGAAGTCTCTTCGTCTGGTGAGGTCCCTGCTGCTCGCCTCCCTTGGGTGAATTCTCGATCAGCATAGCGAGGAGTGCGACCAAGATCCCCCCTGGTGCTCGAAGGCTCTCGCAGGCGGCGCCTCTCGCCTCGCGCGAGGGACCTTGGCGTTCGGCATCGCCAGCATGGCGACGTAAGAGGGCGGAGCTGGTACAGGTCAAAGGCTGAGAGGTGTGCCAGGTACCCGCTGCGCAACCTCAACCTGGCTCTGCGACATGACGGTCATCTGGAGAGCTTGAGGACAACAGCTGTGGAGCTGTTGGACAAGAGAGGTCGACCGATCCGAGAGAAGAACGTCATCAAGACAGTCCGTGTTCCCCTTCCTCTTGCTCAGGTCCTGCCAAGGTGAGCCAAGTCGAGCCGGCCAAGAGGTTCTAGAGAGGAGGAAAGAACGAGGGCCAGAGGAGGGAGGAGGGAGGAGGGAGGAGGGAGAGGTTTTGAGCATGATGGCACATCTGATGACGTGATGTTGGCAACTTTCAGACTGATGGAAGGAAGTACAAGTAACTGTGTTGCCTCTGCCGTTGGCTTTGGTGTCTGCATGGCACTGCATCCGATTCTTGCAAGGAACCTCGCGTGGCCTGCGATGATGCAGAAACAAGGAGGTGAAGTCGAGGAGGTTCAGGAGGCAGCGTGGGTTTGAGGCTGACTTGGCTTTCAGTGACTTGGAGTCATGTCAATAGAATTTTTCCTCTCTTCTTTCTCTCCACAGTCACCAACACAGTCGGCCAACTCTCGCGTCTGATGTTGCGAGGAGGGAGTAGGGGCGCCAGCCAGTCTTCGTTCTTCGTTCAGGATATAGTCATCTCTATCCTCGAGCAGGTGCCCCACTCCCTCCTCTTGCCCTGCCTTCCTCTGATCCTGCCCTTCCTATCCTTCGTCTGAATCCTTCGTCCCTGCTCTCGCCCCCGCCCGAGCTCGCGTGTCCTCACATCCTCCTCGTTCTCTTGGCAGGTTCCCGTCCTTGACTTTTGGAACATCATGCGAGCATCACGGGAGGAGGAGCACACCAACCTGACTTACCTCCTCCTCTACGCGGGCATCGGAGCTCTCACAACGCCGGGGGAGGTGAGACGGCACAGCATGGATGTCGCCTCGCTATCGTGGTTGCGGAGGGATGACAAGCGAGTCGCTTCTCCCCCTCCTCCTCCTCTCTTTGACGGCTTCCTCCTCACTGCCGCGAGGTTTGCGCTCCGAGGGATGTTGACGATCGGGAGTTTGACGGCTATGGACGCGATCGCTCGACCATCCTCCTCCCTGGGCTCCATCATGACGAGGGGAAGGCGAAGGAGGGGAGGAGTGCGAGAGGGAGGACACGTGACTCTCGAAGAGGCGATGAACTACAAGGTACCTCACTGTCGTTCTTCCTCCTAGCCTCTCCCTCCTTCATTCTCCTGCTCCTCCTGTATCTTCCTCCTCCTCTTTCTCATATCATGCAGGTCAACGATGAGGAGATTGTCATTTTTGATGTTCCGATGGATCCTGAGGTTAGAAAGCTCCCTCACCCTTTTGTTCCTTTTCCTCCTCGCACTGGCCCTCCTTTCCTCTTTGCATTCTCTGTTTCATTCCCGCTCACCTTCTGTCTCCTCCTCCTCTCCACCTGTCAAGTTCTTTCCTTCATTTGTGCTTTACAGGTTGGTGTCGATCTAGTGGAAGAAATCCTGGACCCCATTGGCAAGAAGCGCTCCAACAGGAAGAGGAGAAGGTCATGAGTTTTCAGTTGCCCTCCTCCTCGTCCTTGTCCTCCTCCTTCTCTCTGCTCGTCTAGAACCAGAAGTTGACGGAGAAGGACGGCGTCAGAGACCGCACGTAGTGCCAGTGCTTCGAGGGGATGAACAGCATGTCCCCTGCCAACGCCGTCAGGCTCAGCGATCAGACTCGACGGCCCCTCTCCCTCCTCCTTTCCTCCGATCCCATCCAACTCTCTCCCTCCCTCCTTCCCGTTTTCCTTCACCAGGTCTCAAGATAGCCTCTTCGTAGTTCGCCTGCTGCAGGAGCGGGAAGCGATCGAAATCCGGAAATTCGCAGTTGACCTGCCCGGGGACAGTCAAAGCAACTTGAGGCGTAAGGGGCAGAGGAGGAGGGAGTGGACGAGGCGAGGAAGAGAATCAACAGGAGAACAAGAACTCACGGGACTTATGTTGCCTTGCAAGCCAATGCTATCTCCCCTGTCGAGAGTCTTCAGTTCACATACAGTGCTAGCTACGGGATTGCCTCCCTGACTTGTTGACGTAGAGATTTCGAGTCTCTTGTGGGTGGTACAAGCGAACTGATCAATATATGAATGTCATCATCGACTCCTCCTCCTCTCATCTCCTTCCATCCCGGCAATGCTTCCCCCTCTCCCTCCCCTCCTTGCGTCTCCTCTCCTCACTGTATTTGTATCCCACGGCTTGAGCAAGAATGTTGTCTGCCGAGTCGTGATGCAGCGGCGTCACAGTCCCTGCTGTCCCCAGCCACGCGTTCATCCCCTCCACTGCCCCGCACTCGCAGTATTCCGGCACCTCGAAGTCCTTCTGGAGCTGTGTGAGCTGCACCAGGCATGTCAGTCTTGTGCCGGGCTTGTGCTGAGGCCCCAGCTGGGAGAGGAGGGGAGCAACGGCTGGCAAGTCACCTGATCGAAGAGAGCATGCTGAGCAAGGTACGCCACGTCCTTGTCGTCCATCGACTGCTCCTTGAGACAGGCAATGTTGGAGGGGATCAGGTACTCGCTAATCAGCCTCTCCATGAGCATCGCCTCCTCTCGCCACCCGTCCAGCTTCTGTCCTCCTGCTATCCTTCCAAGCTCGACCTGCAGCGGGTCACTCTTCTGGCAGGGGAGGAGGGGAGGAGGAGGGGAGGGGAGGAGGGGAGGGGAGGGGAGGAGGGGAGGAGGGGAGGAGGGGAGGAGGGGAGGAGGGAGGAGGGAGGAGGGAGGAGGGAGGAGGGGAGGAGGGGAGGAGGGGAGGAGGGGAGGCATGCCCGCACCGGGACAGTTCGATGGCCAAACTTGTCTCTGAGATACCTCAGGTCTCTCCACAACCTCAAGGCGGGCCAACCATCCATGACGCCGGTGATGATGACGGGGAGATCCTTCTTGAAGAACTCTTGCTTAAAGTCTTTGACCGAGATGCTCGCCACCCTCTTCACTGCTCTCTCCTCCTGAATCTGCGGGGCATGCCTGGGGAGCGTTTCCTGCACGAAACAGTGTCCTTCCTCCTCTTCACTTGCTGGTTGCGCAGAGCTCTTAAGGCTGACGCTCTCATCGCTCTCGATCTTGTTGATCATGTCGTTAGCTATGGAGTAGACGTTGTTGCCTCCCATGATCAGCGCGAAGTCCAAATGCTGGAGAGCTGCTCGCGGAAGGCTTCCGTCCTTCTCCTCCTGCCCAGCTCGCTTGTACTTGTGCATGCAAGTGTCCGCGAGGACGAGCAGTGCAAAGACGTAAGCCTCCCTCCACCCCACATTCGGCCATCCCCCGCCATTCTCCAGCTTCTCCCAACATTCCCTCCTGACGTCCTCGGCCATTTCCTGCACCTGCTCCCTCCCCTCGTCCTCCATGAGCTTCATCAGCCTGTCAAGCCCATCGGCCACCCGCGCCGCTGCTTCTTGGTCTCCCTCCTCCTCTCCTCTGCTCTCCCTGATCTCGCTACTCGTTCCTGCCATCTTCCTCCCAAGCTCCCCGATCCGCCCCCAACCCCGCATGCCGGCAAAGTGTGGACCTCGTCCCCGCTCACACCAGTACTGCCCCTCATCCAGCACATATCATCACCCTCATCCCATCGCTGAGATCATCGCCCTCTTTCTCGGTTTTCTTCGCCTCGCTGGAGCTGCTGGCGGTGACATGGAGAGGGAGGGGGAGAGAAGAGAAGAGGAGGAGGGAGGGAGGGAGGGAGGGAGGGAGAGGAGGAGGAGAAGAGGAAGATGAGAGACAGGAGGTAGACCGAGAGAAAGAAGAATCCAGGAAGAAGAGTGAGAGAGCAAAGTCAGAGGGATAGACATAAGATGGAGGGAAGTATCTTCATTGGATTCTCCTTCATCCTTTAAAGCTTGAAACAGCCATTTGTGAGAGGTAGATGTAGAAACAGCCATTTGTCAAAGGTAGATGTAGAAACAGCCATGTATCAAACATGAACAGAAAAGAAACAGCACTTGTGGAAAATGATGTCGTTTGTGTATCTCCTTCCTAGACTCGCTTTTGGCAGGCCGGTTCTTGATCCCCTTCTGACTCGCCATGCAGGCAAATCTCTTCGTTGGGCTGAAACTTCTGCATCCCGAGTGGCATGACAGCTGAGGTCCTTCGCTTGTTGTGATCGATCTGTTGTGAGTTCGCCATGACGACTATCGCTGCTATGGAGATGCAGCTGCGTGAGCTGCAAGAAAAGGCTGAGTTTTCCGCCTCGAGCCTCAAGAACTTGGTGGCCCATGGCGAGGAGATCGAGAGTGGGATCCTGTCCAAAAGGAGCCTGCGTCCTCTGGTGGCGGAGCTGCGGACAGAGGCAGACAACCTTGCTGGGAGGCTCAAGGACTCGAGCAACATCGTCCAGCAGGTTGTGGAGAGCGTGCGCATCCTGGACACAGCGCAGGCGAACACGAGGAAGGCCCTGGAGCGAACTGTCGACATTGTGGGCCTGAAAACTTGTGTGGACGATGTGGCGACGGCCATGGTGAACGAGAACTGGGAGCTCGCGGCCACGTCCATCCAGCGGTACCTCCATGTGGAGCCCGAGGACTCCAAGACCGAGGAAGCGGCGCTGCAGAGCTTGAAGAGATCGCTAGAAGAGCTCCGGCAGATTGTAAGGCAGAGAAGTCAGGCAGCGACGGAGAGCAACGACCAGCAGGGAGTCGTGAGGTTCTGCAAGCTCATGGGGCAGGTCGGGCTGATCGAGGAAGGTATCTCGCGCCTCACGCAGTTCCTGGCGAGGAGAGTCGAGGCAGGAGCTCAGGAACAGATCCTGCAGCTCAAGAACGTACTAGCGCTGGGAGCTACGGGAGGGAACGTCGCGCTCTTTGCCAAGTGCCTTACTAGTATCCTTGACGTCGTTGCACGCGCGACGACAGAAGGAGAGCAGGTGGTGAAGGAGAGCTTCGGGGATCAAGCTCGATCCCAGCTCGTGACTGCCCTCTACACGAAGGCGGCTCCGAGCATCGCGGAGGTGCTGGAGTTGATCTTCAGTCGAAGGAACATCGCGTCGCTCGTCAGGAAGTATCGAGACCAGCAGCAGCTGGAGAAGAAGGTAGCTCTAGAGCTGGACGTCCTGCTCGAGGAGATCTCGCTGTGCTTGCAGCGTATCGAGCAGTTCAACTGGTTCATGGTGGCCAAGGCGCGAGCGCCTCCTCCCTCCTCGCATGGGGACAAGCAAGTGCGACCACATGTCGACGATCACTTTGAGCTCCCTCGCGTCACCATCGTTGAGGTGAAGAAGGCTGAGCTGATCAGCGGCTACATCGCGCTGGAGGAGACGTTCATGCGCTACTCCGTTGAGAAGGCGATCAAGAGCAGAGAGCGAGACGACGAGACGCTGGTCTCTGCTCTCGTCGACGAGGTCTTCTTCGTCCTCAAGAAGTGCTCCCGCAGAGCGTTGGCGACCTCCAGCCTCAACGCCATGGGTGACGTCATCATGTACGCCCACAGCATGCTGGTCACCACCTACAAAGAGGCGCTCGAGGCCATGCTGGCGGCGACGGATCGCTCGGGAGGGATGCAGCTGTCAGGAGGGCTGGCCAACCTACTGGCGGGGACGACGGTAGGCGAGCAGGTGGCGAGCTTGTCGCGCAGGCAGGTGGCGGAGATCTTCGACGGGACCTGCTACAACAACCTCGAGGTGTCGGCGAACAACATCCGGAAACTGCACCACCAGCTGGAGGCTGAGATCAAGCAAGTCTACCGCGGGGCAATGAGGAAGGAGGAGGACAAGGCCAGGGAGTGCATGTCGGAGCTTGCCACAGCTGGACATATCCTTGCGAAGTCCCTCAGCGATGCGATCGAACGCCTCGCAGCCCTGCTGGACAGATTCCTGAGCCCAGCTATCAACCTGCTGCAGAGCACGGATTACGAGACGCAAGAGGCTGTCTTCTGCGAGAGCGCTGCCGTCGTCGAGCTCATCTCCACGCTCGAGAGCACGTTGCAGCCCTTCCGCATGGAGCTCAACTCCTCCTGCTTCGACATGCTCGTCCTCGCCATCGTCAGCCAGCACGTCGTCCCCCCCCTCGAGCGCCTCGTGCTGGGTAAGAAGCCTAGCAGCTTCAGCGCGATGGGGGCGATGCAGTTCGACAAGGACCTGCGAGCTCTGACGGGCTTCTGCTCGACTCTGACGCAGAGGACGGTGAGGGATCAGTTCACGCGGCTGTCGCAGCTGGGGCTAGTGCTGAACCTCGGGGAGCCCAAGGAAATCTTCGACTACGGGTGGGGCGACACGTCGGGGGGAGCGAGTGTGATGTGGAGGCTGACGGCCGACGAAGTGAGGAAGGCGATGATGCGAAGAAGTGACTTCCGTAGAGAGAGGATACAGGCGCTCAAGCTGTGAACAGGAGTGAAGCCGAGAGGTGGTGTAGGCAAGCGAGCAAGGAGGAGAAGGAGGAGGAGGAGGAGGAGGAGGAGATGTTGGTTTGTTGCGTGTTTGTTCTCGCCTTATGAAATTTCGCTTGTGCTACGTCAAAATCTTCATTTCGCATTATTCATCTTGGATACTTCTTGCGACATTGAAGTATACTGTGAGGGATCCGTAAGTAGAGAGCGAACGAGCGAGAGAGAGAGACGCAAGGAGGAGGAGGAGGAGGAGCAGCAGCAGCAGCAGGTTCGCACCTTGTCGGCTAGATCTGGTCGGTTAGCCTGGTTGCAGACGGAGGCGAGAAGAGTATAGGTGTACTCAATGGGTTTGCCGCCCTCTCGCTGCTGCTTACTCAGAGCGAGAAGGTAAGGGAAGAGGGGAGGAGGAGGAAGGGAGGAGGAGGAGAGGAGGAGGAGGGGAGAGGAGGAGGGAGGGTGGTTGGACCTCGAATTGTTCTAAGTAGGAGATGGCTGTTTTGTAGTCGCCCTGTGAGCGAGTGAGAACATGGACTAGGAGGTCCACGTAAATTGAGGAGGAAGAGGAGGATGGGGAGAAAGGGGCAAAGATCAGGAGGAGGAGGAGGAGGAGGAGCGAAGGGGGGAGGTTCAAGACCTCGTTGTGACAGGATCGTATGAGCTCGTGGTAGAATGCTAGGAGGAGAGCAGGAGATTTCTCCTTGCAACTGTCAAAAACCTGCAAGAAACAATGAGAGGGTAGGAGAGGGAGGGCATGCGAGAGAGCAGAGGGGGGGAGGATGGGATCGAAGGAGGACGAAGAGCAGGTGGAGGTCAGAGAATAGCAAAAACCTCTCGCGTCTTGTGGATGTTGCCGGCTGTGGCATATGCTGACATCAAGCTGCAAGGGAAGCAAACAGTGAGACCGGTCTGTCCTTCTCTTCCTCCTCCTTCCTATCCTTCTCTTCCTCCTCCTTGCTGTCCTGCCCCACTTTCTACTTGATCGTTGCTGCAATCCCATTATCGCGCTTCTGCTTGCTCCCACTTGCATGCATCGGTCCCCTCGTGCT